ACCCGTGGTGGGGGGCCCTGCCCTGCGTGGGGAGTGGCGGGTGGATGGGGTGGGGGTGGGTTGGAGGTGGGGGAGAAGGAATGGGGGTGGGGGGAGGGAGAGGGAGAGGGAAAGTATATGTGAAAATATTAATAATTTAATAAAAAAAGAAAAAAAATTCAAAAAAAATACAAAAACGCATCAGAGAAATTATCCAGCATGATCAAATTGGCTTTATACCAGGAAAGCAGGGATGGTTCTACATACGAAAATCCATCACTGTAATCCACTATATAAACAAACTGAAAAAGAAAAACCACATAATCATCTCGATAGATGTTGAAAAAGTCTTTGACAAAATCAAACATCCCTTCATGATAAAGGTCTTGGAGAGATCAGGAATAACAGGAACATACCTAAACATGATAAAAGCAATATACAGCAAACCAACAGCCAACATCAAACTAAATAGAGAGAAGCTCAAGGCTATTCCTCTAAAATCAAGAACAAGGGTGTCCACTCTCTCCATATCTCTTCAATATTGTACATGAAGTACTAGCTAGAGCAATAAGACAACAAAAGGAGATCAAGGGGATACAAATTGGGAAGGAAGAAGTCAAACTTTCACTATTTGCAAATGATATGATAGTTTACATAAGGGACCCAAAAACTCTACCAGGGAATTACTACAGCTGATAAACACCTTCAGCAAAGTGGCAGGATAAAAGATTAACTCAAAAAATCAGTTGCCCTACTATATACAGATGATAAATGCAATGAGAAAGAAATCAGAGAAACATCACCCTTTACAATAGTAACTAACAACATAAAATATCTTGGGGTAACACTCACCAAAAAGACCTGTATAGAAAGAACTTTGAGTCTTTAAAGGAAGATATTAAAGAATATACCAGAAAATGGAAAGGTCTCCCATGCTCTTGGATAGGTGGGATCAACATAGCAAAAATGGCAGTCTTGCCAAAAGCAAATCTACAGATTCAATGCAATTCCCATCAAAATCCTAACACAATTCTTCACAGACCTTGAAATAACAGTACTCAACTTCATTTGGAAAAACAACAACAACAAAAAAACCCGGGATAGCCAAAACAACCTTGTACAATAGGGAAACTTCTGGAGGCATCACCATCCCTGACCTCAAGCTCTATCATAGAGCCATAGTTCTGAAAATAGCTTGGTATTGGCACAAAAATAGACAGGTTGACCAATGGAATCAAATTGAAAACCCTGATATTAACCCACACACCTATGAATGCCTGATTTTTGACGAAGAATGTAAATTTATACAGTGGAAGAAAGAAAGCATCTTCAACAAATGGTGTTGGCATAACTGGGTGCGGACATGTAGAAGATTGCAGATTGATCCATATCTATACCCATGCACTAAACTTAAGGCCAAATGGATCAAAGACCTCAACATAAATTCAGCCACATTGAACCTCCTAGAAGAGAAGGTAGGTGGCACCCTTGAAGAAATTGGTAAAGAGACCGCTTTCTGAACGTACCACCAGTAGCTCAAACATTGAGATCGACAATTAATAAATGGGACCTCCTGAATTTGAGAAGCTTCTGTTAAGCAAAGGACACAGTCAGCAAGACAAAATGCCAGCCCACAGAATGGTAAAAGTTATTCACCAACCCCACATCTGACAGAGGGCTGATCACCAAAATATACAATGAACTCAAGAACCTAGCCACCAAAAAACCAAACAATGCAATTAAAAGATGGAGCGCAGAACTAAATAGGGAATTCTCAACAGAGGAATCCAAAATGGCTGAAAGACACTTGAGAAAGTGCTCAACATCTTTAGCCATCAGGGAAATGAAACTCAAAACCATTGAGAGATACCATCTTACTCATGTCAGAATGGATAAAATCAATAACACCAATGGCAGTCTATGCTGGAGATGATGTGGAGAAAGGGGAACTCTCCTCTATTGCTGATGAGAGTGCAAACTTGTACAGAAACTTTAGAAATCAGTATGGCGGTTTCTCGGGAAAATGGGAATCAGTCTATCTCAAGATCTAGCAATCCCTCTCTTGAGCATATACCCAGGAATGCACATTCATACAATAAAGACATATGTTCAACTATGTTCATAGCAGCATTATTTGTAATAGCCAGAACCTGGAAGCAACCTAGATGCCCCTCAACTGAAGAATGGATAGAGAAAATGTGGTATATTTACACAATGGAGTACTACTCAGCGGTGGAAAAAAAAACAATGGAAGCTTTAAATTCACAGGCAAATGGATGGAACTAGAAGAAAGCATCCTTTGTGAGGTAACCCAATCACAAAAAGATAAACATGATATGTACTCACTCATTTTTTATTTTTAGACATAGAGCAAAACATCACTAGTCTACATTCCTCACTCCTAGAGGAGCTGGGAAACAAGGAGGAACCCGAGAGAAGATTGCATAGTCCCTGGAAGAAGGGGATGGGGACATAATCCCTGACCAAATTAGAGCCCAGGGGCAGGGAGAGGAAGAGGTTTGAAGCAGAACTAGACACCCATAGCGAAGCATTGAACCATACTACTGGAATTCAATTGTGGAGCGGGAGGAGGGTTGAGCAAAGGTGCCAAGACGGGGATGGAGAGACCTGCAGAAACAGTGGATCTGACCTACTGACAGAATGGAGACCCTAGTCATAAAGCTGGGGAAACAGCATTGGACCAAACCAAGCCCTCTGAATGTGGGTACCAGCTAGGAGCCCAAGACAGTCTATGGCTCCTCTGACAGCGGAGCCAGTCTTTATCCCTAGAACACAAACGGACTTTGGGAGCCCATTGGATATGTAAATATGAGTAATTGAAAATAATAAAAAGTTTAAAACGACTAAATTTATTCAATACCCTACAGTAAAAGTTTTGATTATAAGTATCCAACAGTATAAAATGTATAAAACAGATATGAAGATTTCTAATATATTAATACAAGGTGAATGGCTACATACAGTACATCCTACAGGCAGAGAGTGGAGGGGGGAAGACCGTGGTTGAGGTCTAGTAATAAATAAATAAATACAGAAGTAGAGATGACCCATCAAAAGTATGTTCTACCACCAATACTGCAGCCAAAATATACAAAAAAAAATCCCATGTTAAAGTAATGCAGGAGAATGGTAACGGCTGGACTCTACTACACCAAGGCTGTGGAGAACAAACCCACTCATTGGGCAGTCTGTGCACGAGGTGGCTTGTACTAGGTAAGTTTTTCCCAAAAGGAAGAGACACACAATGTAAAACTACACAGCTATAGGATGCCACAATCTGTGGCCCTCCCTGTTGTGAAATACTAGCAGACTTTAAAAATCCAGTTTTTAAAATAATCACGAGTGAGGACTACTAAGGCAGCCACATACCCTTCTCCCTCTATGAGAGGTCTGAAATGGCACTATTGTTTTTCCTGAACTTTGAGAAGAGGCCATCAGACAACTTCCTCTAGGCTGTACTGAGAAGCCCTCGCCGCGATCTCAATGTGAGGAGCTCTATTCAGCCATCTTGATGTTCAGAAGCCCAACTCCAAGAAGCCACCAAAACCAACCAACTCAGCCTCAACACACAACTCTTTTTTCCTTATAATCAAGTTTAAATAGTGGGAGAAAAAAACAATAAAACAACAAAACCAAAACCCTAGTAAGGTTATGACAAGGCAAAAAACTACTCTATAGATAAAACCTCCTCAAAGGTCTACTGAGGTGATCCAGAGCTAGAACTGAATTGAATGGATTTCAGTGAATCCCAGACAGTTGTGTAACACCAATGTCAATTATTTGCACACTGCAAGCCCTGTAAGAAATGTGTCCCAAGAAGCATCAACTGTGTCCCGAACATCCCCAGGACTCACATAATCTGTTAAGCAGTTTACAACCACGTGTTCTCTTCGTATGGTGATGCTTTGGTCCTATCCCTACAGGACCTTGGCCATCCTACAGGCTTGCCTTCCCCAGAAGGAGCGCTGGTGGTTCTGTTTTATAAGATTCACACAATGATGTTTATCAAATATTACCACGAAGGGAGGCAACACAGTGCTACCTGTGTGTTCAGAAATTGCTTCCTCCTTCAAGCTATTTGCAGAAAGCTCAGTCTGTCCTTCTTAATAATCATGAGTACAGGTCTGAATCATCAGAACCTTGGGAACACCTTAGCATTTAAAAATTTTTAACTACCTCTAGGGGCAGGTCGTGCTACTGAGTTACGATAAATTACCATGAGGGAAAACAAATGTATCCAGCCATTTTAAATGCCCCAACCACTGCCTCTCCACAGAAAGACTAAACTACATATGGTTTATCACACAACAAATCCCATCTCTGTCCCCTGAGACACTCCCAATCTCATTTATTAGAGGGAATTTTTAAAAAAAAGACTTAAAGAGCACTTTACAGCAGCATTCAGCCTTCCTATGAAATAAAATATTCAGCATATTAAATATTATGTACACTGTCTTCTTGCATTAAGCTAGAACTGGCTTTCCGAGTTTGTTGGATGGGGGAATGGGTAACCCATTAAAAACTATTCTAGAAAATGTCTTTTGGCAGAATAGCAGGTATCCAAGTTAAAAATAGGAGGGTTACTCTGTTGCTTTGCGGTCTTTTCAAAGTTTAAGTCACTTTTTGTTCCCTTCTGCATGAACCTCAGTCACCACTCCTGAGTAGAGATGGGCAGAGGCTCTGGCCCCTGCTCCTCAGGCTTCTCAGCAGCTGCCTTCTTATTACTGCAGCAAGGCTTGAAGAGATGCATGCTGATGAGGACGTCCCCAAAATGGCCCTTATAGATGATCCCACAACCTATTTTCTGTCTTTTCCAGTAGGTAATATCTAAGAAGGAAAAAAAAATTGGAGTTCTCTTAGAGCTGGAAGCCATCTCTGTGTCTGAGCCATCATCTGACTGGTTACTGTAGTACGGAGACTGGGCTGGAGAGGCACTTGAGGTGGTGCTGTGAACATCTGAGTTGTGGCGTTTAAATTCCTTCTGCAGTTTACTGATCAGGTTGCTTTTCATCCTGTTTACAGATAAGAGTTTTCACTTTCTTTGGTTTCAGTGTTGTCTTTAGACTGGGTCCTGCCCTTGTGTCTACCACATGATTGCAGTTTTTTTGTTTTGGGTTTGTTTTTGTTTTTGTTTTTGATCCTGCTGGCAACTTCTTTCATCTTTTCACAAGCAGCACACAGGCAGGCGTTGGAGATGTATCCTGAGTGAGCCTCGTGCAAAGTTCCCACCCAAAACAGCTCTGGAAGTCCTTTTCATAATGTTTACTGTCTGTGAACCAAGAGCTGGAGGACTTGGTTCTGAAAATACAGCAGCCCTCTATACTTCAGTACGTCTTTGGCTTGTGAAAACCAAACATCTTTTCTTCTGAGCAATACCTTCCACGAGCAGCAGAGTCCCCACGGTGTGGACTGCACCAGACCAACCCCTTGCAAGCACTCCCTCCGCCCTTGCGCCGAGTCCAGAAAAAGCACAAAATACTTTTTTAAATCTTATTGTTACTAATGTTCATTTTAAAAGATACAAACACTTTAGTAGGAAGAAGAACAAACACAGCAACAGGAAAACTAAGAGAAATAAATATCCCAAAACATCGAGAAACAATCTGTGGGTTAGCTCGGAGACGGGGTGCTTACCAAGTGCATAGGAGAGTCTGGATTTGTTCCCTAGCATTGCAGAAGAAATTTAAATGAATTAATGTTTACTATTACTAGTAATGGGAGATATATAAGATTTTTACATAGTTTGGTTCCTTTGTACTTATTAAATCATTAATAATTCAATCATAATCCTAGTTGCCCAACGGTATTACTGGGATGATGTCCAGTGGTTAAGGGGTTGGTCTCTATATGTGAGCAGACACCAGGATGAATTCTACTCAAATCCTTACCCTAACTGGATACCCATTTTCCCATCTGCAAGGGGGAATACTGTAGTTCTGACCCCAAAGCTTTCTTTCTTACTTGTGACAGTGTACTGACTTATTCAGGAAGAGCTGCTTGCTAACTGGAACATGGAAGATAGCTTTCCTAGCAGCTGCTGTGTGAGCTGGTATGGCTGGAGTGCTTTTATGTGTGCTGTGTAATGCCTCACTTAAGGCTTTTGGATGTTTTGAGGGAGTGTCTCATATTAACATTTTTCTGTTTAGAGAAATAAAAAACAATGGCCTTGTTAGCCTGCAAAAGTCTGACCTAGGCCTTCTGCATTTATGTTATGGTTGTCTAGCTTGGTCCTCCTGTGGGACTCCTAACAGTGGGAGCAGGGACTCTCCCTTACTATTTTGCCTGCTTTTGGGACCCTTTCCTCTAACTGAGTTGGCTTGTCCCACCTTAATACGAGGGGTGGTGCCTAGTCTTATTTCAACTTTATATGCTATGTTTGGCTGATATCCCTGGAAGGCCTGTCCTTTTCTGAATGGAAGTGTGGGAAAAATGAATGGGAGGGAGATGGGGGGGAGAACTGGGAGGGGAGGAGGGAGGTGATGCATGAGAGATGAATTTAAAAACAGAAAAGCAACATATAAACTGATAAAATGGCCATGTTATCACTTACAATATATATTTCTTTTCCATCTCATTTCAATGAGGGCAAAGGCTGGAAAGTGAGTTATCCAATGCATAGGTGTGAGGCCCAGTGGGCTAGCTTGTAAAACTAAAGAACATGCCACCAAGAGATTCAGAGCCACACCCCTGAGACCTGCACCTGTTAGTCTAACCCTTGAGGAAAGAAATGCCCCAGGTTCCCTAGGACTCAGACAGAACTGGCTGGAGAGCAGGCTCTACAATGACACTGGAGTTGTCTTTAATAAGTGAGTTGGGAAATGATCTGTCAGGAACCTTTATAGCCCTGTTCTTTTTTGGTCCAAGGAAGCAGAAACTGAGACATACATTATAGTTGTTCTCAAAGAAAACTAGACTCAGTGTATGCCAGCTTTTCCTGACCACGTCAGAAAAAGTCTCTGTCATATCTTCACAGAGAATATTACAGCTAGAGGAGAAAACTGAGAATCTGAAGATGCTTCAAATTGATACACACTGTGACAGGTAAGGACCTGGAAGGGATAAGATTCACCTTCACCAATGCTCAAATGCACACACACACACACACACACACACACACACACACACACACACACACACACACACACATACACACATCTCTCCCCCCAAATAGGCAATCATTTTACTGGTATGCAACCAAAGTCTTTCCTTAAGATTAGAAGCTTCTTCTGAACCAAAAAGTAAACAGAAAACTGAAAGATGATGAATCTTCTAAGGCTACGCCTTTACAAAGGCTGTGGAATACCACCTTATGCTGAATCCAAAAACAGCAAACAAAGCTGCTTGCAGAAGGGCAAAGAAAGACCCAAAAAACCTTTATTTTCCTTCCAGCTGGTGATAACCAATAACAGGGAGACATAGTAAAATCTTAGTGTGAAGAAAGGGTCTTAAATATCAATCCCTAGATTGCTACAAGGGAGATACAAAAAAAGGAAAGAATAAAGAGATAAAGGGGAGAGTTTGGTGAGCCATCCTAAAGTAGCCACAAGAGTGGGTTATCACTGCACTCAGCTCATGTGTCAATGCTCCCAAATAGAGCAAAGTTCAAAGACATTTTCAGTGTCCATACAAAAAGCTAAAATGTACACGTGTGTGTGTGTGTGTGTGTGTGTGTGTGTGTGTGTGTGCATAGGAGAAGAGGGGGAGTGATGATAAAGATTTACACCTCTATTCTAACACATCAGCTTACAGAGCTTTTCAGATATTCTCAATAAGACCATGCTTAATTCCTACCTCATTCAAATAGACTGTGCTGACTTCTTTAATCGGACTGATCTCTTTTCTATAGACCCTGCTGCAGCATAGAAAATAAAATTTGCATTTGGGTGTTTATTATATTCATTTTTCTATAAAATGTTTTTTGTTTTATTTCCATTGATACACAGAGATGTGCATGGAGAAGGATCACATACTCTCCCCTTTCCAACCCAAATAGTTTGGTGATGTATCTGTATCTGTGAGCTGATCTAATGATCAAATATTGGCACATAGAGACTTTTCATTTGCACACAAGAACTATGCAGGATGGGGAAATCAAGCAGAGTGAACCAATCTGGTGCTTCAGACTTCCTCCTTCTGGGACTCTCTGAGCATCCAGGTGAGCAGCCTCTTCTATTTGGCATCTTTCTGGGCATGTACCTGGTCACTATGGTGGGGAACCTGCTCATCATCCTTGTCATCAGCTCTGATGCACACCTCCATACTCCTATGTACTTCTTCTTGGCAAATCTGTCCCTAACTGATGCTTGTTTTACCTCTGCCTCAGTCCCCAAAATGCTTGCCAACATTCATAGCCACAGTCAGACCATCTCCTATTCTGGGTGCCTTACCCAGCTATATTTCCTCTTGATGTTTGGTGGCCTTGACAACTGCCTTCTGGCTGTGATGGCATATGACCGCTATGTAGCTATCTGCCAGCCACTCCATTACAGCACAGCTATGAGTCCCCAACTCTGTGCACTAATGCTGTGTATGTACTGGGTGCTGACCAACTGTCCTGCCCTCATACACACACTACTGTTGACCCGTGTGGCTTTCTGTGCCCACACAGCCATCCCCCACTTCTACTGTGACCCCAGTGCTCTGCTAAAACTTGCCTGCTCTGACACCCACATTAATGAGCTGATGATCATTGCCATGGGCTTGGTGTTTCTTGCTATTCCTCTCATGTTGATCGTCTTCTCCTATGTCCGCATTTCCTGGGCTGTGTTGGGCATCCCTTCTCCTGGAGGGCGTTGGAAAGCCTTCTCTACCTGTGGCTCTCATCTTACAGTTGTTCTACTCTTCTATGGATCTCTGATGGGTGTGTATTTACTTCCTCCATCAACTCACTCTGCAGAGAGGGAAAGCAGGGCTGCCATTCTCTACATGATTGTCATTCCCATGCTGAACCCATTCATCTACAGCTTGAGGAATAGAGACATGAAGGAGGCGTTGGGCAAACTTTTTGGTGGTGGAAAAGCAGTCTTCTGACTATAACTCTAATGCTTAACCCTAGTGCTGTTATCAAAACCCATTTTTGATGACCCAGAAAGAGCTAAAAATGGAACAATAGGCTCTGATATGAAATGAGGTTCTATGCCTTGATCTATCTTGACTTCACTATGACAACCATCGCTGAAAATGGAACACCATCCCTGATCTTCAGCTCTAAAACCAGCTTATCTCCTGTGACAGACTGAGTCGTATGCTGTCTATCCTTCAGTCATTGAGGCAAGCATGCAATGAGATGAAGTGACAAGGAAACAAACGTTTGTTGGCTGTCTGCACTGTCACTCAACAGGTGTTGCAAAGAGGGTGTGAAACTATAACAGGATGTAAATAAATTGCCCAAACCAGGTAGATTTGAATCCAGGGCCTGTGACTCCTATTTTGTCACAGCATACTGACCATGACAAGGAAGGTTTTCGAAGAACAACCTAAAGATAGTATTGAGTAATGACCATTAGAGACAAATATCGTAGTAATACATACACTATGCTATGTCCTCACTGTTCATTTCCTTATAGTTTGTTAATGTCATGGATATTTTCAAAGAAAACTTTTCTTAAGTGCCTACATTGTGCCAATTTTGTATTTAATTATACATGATTCATTCTCCAGGGTTTTACATGAAATGTTTCTTAGAAGAAAATCAAGTGTATCAAAACTAGTCTGGCGGGAATTGGGATTATAAAAAGTCAGAAAGCTTTTTACCATGATTGTATTTTTTTTATAAATTATGAAACTTTCATAAAGAGCTTTTATATAGTTTATTACATGGGCACATCTGTCATTTGGGGTTGGCATTAATGTAAATTCTAATGTGTTCTTAATTTTGAATACCATTTGTTCTCTCTTTACATGTAACAAAGAAATTAATAAGCTGGGCAATGGTATATGACTACAATCCTAGCACACAGTAACCCAAGAAAGAAGAATTAGCATGAGCTACATCAAGCTCAAAACAATGTCAGAAAGAGTAAAAGGGATAAGTGAGTTCTGTGTATTACCTTTTATAATTGGTATAATTTCTTACCAGTACCATGAGGGTTTCTTTAGCAATTTCTTTAATTTTCTTCACAGATTATGCTATCTGCAAAGACTGTTTTGATTCTTTCTTCCCAATTTGTACATATTTAATTATCTATTCTTATCATATTATATGAGCTAAGATTTCCAGAATGTCATTGAAAAATAGTGATGAAAGGGAACCTTTATGCCTGTTTTCAATGTTAGTGGGAAAGAGACTAAATATGATGTTATCTTGGGGTTTTCAGAAACTTTCTTTATCAAGTGGATATGGTTGCCATGTATTTCTAATTTACTGAGTTTTTATTGATAACATATGAATGGGTGTTGAATTTTGTCTAATACTTTTTCATATATATTTTGTGACTATTTTCTTCTCTAGCTTGTTAATGTAATAATTTACAATAATTGTTCTTTTTAAATTAATTTTTATTTAAATTACAAACAATCTTATTTTACATACCAATCCCAGTTCCTACTCACTCCCATCCTCCCATGCACCCCCAATAACCCCCATCCCACCCCCCTCATCAACTCCTCAGGGAGTGTGAGCTTTCCATGGGGGATCATCAAGTCTGTCACATCATTTGGGGCAGGACCTAGGACCTCCTCCATGTATCTAGGCTGACAGTGTATCCCTCCATAGGGAATTGGCTCCCAAAGTCTATGCACTAGGGATAAATACTGGTTCCACTGCCGTAGGCCCCATAGACTGCCCAAGCACCCCAGCTGACACCCACATTCAGTGGGCCTGGTTCAGTCATATGCTGGTTCTTCAGTTTGTCAGACTGGGGTTCATGAGCTCCCACTTTGTCAGGTCAGCTGTTTCTGTAGGTTTCCATGGCATAGTCTTGACCCTTTGCTCATTATTCCTCTCTTCTCTGCAACTGTATTACAAGAATTTGGCTCAGTGCTTAGCTGTGAATCTCTGCTTCTGCTTCCATTAGCTACTTGATTAAGGCTCTAGGAAGGCATTTAAAGTAGTCATTGATCTCATTATAGGAGAAGGGCATTTAAGGTAGCCTCTCCACTACTGCTTAAATTCTTAGTTGGGGTCATCTTTGTGGGTCCCTGGAGATTTCCCTATTGCCAGGTTTATTAACTCCTAATGGCTCCCTCTATTAAGGTATCTCTTTCATTGATCTCCTTCTCTGTTCTTCCCCCAACTGGACCATCCTGATCCCTCATGTTATCCTCCCCCACTTCTTCCCTTCTCTTTGTCCTACCACCCTCTCTTCCATGATCCCAATTAGCTCAGGCAATCTTGTCCCTTTCTCCTTCTCCAGGGGACCATGTATGTCTCCTTTAGAGTCCTCCTTGTTGCCTAGCATCTCTGGTGGTGTGGATTATAGGCTGGTAATCCTTTGCTCTATGTGTAAAATCCATATATGAGTGAGCACATACTATGTTTGTCTTTTTGTGACTGGGTTACCTCACTCAGGATTGTTTCTTCTACTTCCATCCATTTGCCTGAAAATTTCATGATGTCATTGTTTTTATTTTTTCACTGACTAGTACTCCATTGTGTAAATGTACCACATTTTCTTTATCCATTCCTCAGGTGAGGGGCATCTAGGTTGCTTCTGGGTTCTGGCTAATACAAATAATGCTGCTTTGAACATAGTTGAACAGATGTCCTTGTGGTATGAATGAATGTGCTTCTTTTGGGTATATGCCTAAGAGTGGAATTGCTGGATCTTGTGGTAGACTAATTCCCATTTTCCTGAGAAACCCCCATATTGATTTATAAAGTGACTGTACAAGTTTACATTTCCACCAGCAATGGAGGAGTTTTCCCCTTTCTCCACATCCTCTCCAGCATAAACTGTCATTCGCATTTTTGATTTTAGTCATTCTGACAGGTATAAGATGGTATCTCAGAGTTGTTTTGATTTGCATTTCCCTGTTGTCTTAGGATGTTGAGCATTTTAAGTGCCTTTCAGCCATTTCAGATTCCTCTGTTGAGAATTCTCTATTTAGATCTGTATTCCATTTTTTAAATTGGATTATTTGGTGTTTTGTGATTAGCTTCTTGAGTTCTTTGTATATTTTGAAGATCAGCCCTCTTTCTGATTTGGGGTTGGTGAAGATCTTTTCCCATTCTGTAGCCTGCCATTTTGTCTTGTTGACTGTGTTCTTTACCTTACAAAAACTTCTCAGTTTCAGGAGGTTCCATTAATTAATTGTGGAACTCAGTGTCTGTGCTACTGGTGTTATGTTCAGGAAGCAATCCTCTGTGCCAATGCATTTAAAGGTACTTCCCACTTTCTCTTCTAAGAGGTTCACTGTGGCTGGATTAATGTTGAGGTCTTTGATCCATTTGGACTTAGATTTTTTTGCATGGGGATAGATATGGTTCTATCTACATTCTTCTACGTGTCAGAATCCAGTTATGCCAGCACCATTTGTTGAAGATGCTTTATTTTTTTCCATTGTATAATTTTAGATTCTTTGTCAAAAATCAGGCATTCGTAGGTGTGTGGATTAATATCAGGGTCTCCCATTTTATTCTATTGGTCTACCTGTCTGTTTTGTGCCAATACCAAGCTGTTTTCATTACTATAGCTTTATAGCACAGCTTGAAGTCAAGGATGGTGATGCCTTCAGAAGTTCCTTTATTGTACAGGGTTGTTTTGTCTATCCTGGGTTTTTTGTTTTTTCATATAAAGTTGAGTATTGTTCTTTCAAGATCTGTGAAGAATTGTTCTGGGATGATGATAGGGATTGCATCGAATCTATAGATTGCTTTTTGTAAGATTGCCAATTTTACTATATTGCTCCTACCTATCCAAGAGTATGGCAGATCTTCCCATTTTCTGATATCTTCTTTAATTTCTTTGTTTAAAGACTTAAAGTTCTTGTCATACAGGTCTTTCACTTGTTTGGTTAAAGTTACCCCAAGATATTTTATCTTGTTTTTGGCTATTGTGAAGGGTGATGTTTCTCTGATTTCTTTCTATGCCCATTTATCATTTCTATATAGAACTGTTTTTTTTTGTTTTATTTTATTTTTTTTAATCTTGTACCCTGCCACTTTACTGAAGGTCTTTATTGGCTTTTGGAGTTCCCTGGTACAATTTTTGGGTCACTTATATAAACTATCATATCATCTGCAAATAGTGAATGTTTGACTTCTTTCCAATTTGTATCTGCTTGATCTCCTTTTGTCATCTTATTGCTCTAGCTATACAATAATTGTTCTTTGTAATTTTAAGTAGATTTGGATAATTGGGATGAATACCACTTTGTTGTCATGTATAATTCTTTTGCTTCAGTGTTGCATTTAATTGTTTTTAGCATTTTATGGAGGATTTTGCATCAAAATTCATGAAAGATATTGGTTAGAGGTTGCTCTTTCATATAACATCTTTTTCAATTTTTAGTATTGTGTTGATGATAGCTCACACTCTCTCAGCTTCTATTTTCTAGATGAGGTTATAGAACTGGCATCATTTTTTTCCTTGAAAGTTTGATAGAATTAGTCATTGAAACTGTTTAGGCCTGGTACCTCCTTTTTGGGGAAGTCATTAAAAGTTACATTATTTGTTTAATAGATGTACAACTATTGATTTTGTCAATTTTCTCTTGTGTGGGCCTGAGCAGATGTGACTTACAAGGAATTGGTCTATTTCATTTAGGCTAGCAAACTTGTGGGAGTGGAGTTTCCTACAGTGTTCCTTTGTCATTTGTTTCACTCTCCGAGGATCTGTACTGTACTTAATCACTTCTGATTTCAGTTTCTCTCTCCCCTTCCCCGAACCCCTCTCCCTCCTGCTCCTCTTATTCATCTGCCCCCACTCTGTCAAGCTTTCCTATTAGAGACATCATTTTTACAGATTTTTTTGCATTAGGTTATAGTGGCTCATGCCTCAAACCCTATCACTTCGAAGGTGAAAGCTACAGGATCCTCAGTTCAGGACAGCCTTGCTGCATAACAAAACCCTGCCTCCAAGGCAACGTGC